TGCTTCTGTTCTCCATCAAAAAGAAAAATGAACAAAAATAACTTCTTCATTCTCCCTTGCTGATTGGTATAAAAATAAATTCACAATTATTTCTAGGGCATTTACTGCAAATAAATTTTGTCATGTGAACAGTCACTGATGCAATGGAACTTCAATATTTGTACTTTTGTTCTAATAAAAATCCTGGTCGTGCTTCATGGCTTTTTAATTCAAATAAATCCCTTTCAAATTCTACTACTTATTCCCCTAAATTAAGATGCAAAGCTGGAAAGCTAAACAATCAGTCACAATGAATTGTTAACTAAAATAAACTTAGAGCAGTGTCTTAAAAGAAAGGCTGACCATAGCCCTTCCATAATCAGATGGAAATATATATGTTTCTTCACTGAAATAGTACAGATTTTAAGCCTTGAGACTTTTCTCCTGGGAAATTCTGTAGATAACTTATGCAAATTTCTTTCTTATCTCCAGCTGCTGGAGAAAGTTTGTCTAGGGCTCTAGTTGATCTCTCTAATACATTTTATTCTAGGCTTTGATTTACTGAAAGGTACAATATTACCTTCTGTGTTCTGAATAGACATGGATATATGCAGAATTATAAACTGAAGAAGGTCTAGAATATTTTAATGCAAACTCCATAGAATATATTTTGTAAGAATATCCACTGATTTGTGATGCTGGAGAACTTTCTTCTTGCACAGGTTAAGTAGCATTACTTGAGACTTCAATGTGTGGAATCATCGAATCACTGAGGTTGGAAAAGACCTTTAAGATCACCAAGTCCAACCGAAAATCTAACACTGCCAAGTCCACCACTAAACCATGTCTCTTAGAGCCACACCTTCATATCTTTTCAATACCTCCAGAGATGGTGACTCAACTACTTCCCTTGGAAGTCTCTTCCAATGCTTGACAGCACTTTTTGTGAAAATTTTTTTCCTGATATCCAGTCTAAACCTCCCTTGGCACAACTTGAGGCTGTTTCATCTCATCCTGTCACTTGCTACTTGGGAGAAGAAAACAACACCCACCACGCTACAGCCTCCTTTCCGGTAGTTGTAGACAGCAACAAGGTCTCCCCTGAGCCTCCTTTTCTCCAGGTTAAACATCCCCAGTTCCCTCAGCCACTTCTCAGAACTAAGACTTCTTCTCTAGACCCTTCACCAACTTTGCTGCTCTTCTTTGGGCGCGCTCCAGCACAACATCTTCCTTGTAGTGAGGGGCCCAAAACTGAACACAGGATTCGATGTGCAGCCTCACCAGTGCTGAGTACAGCGGGACAATCCCTTCCCTAGTCCTGGTGGCCACGCTATTTCTGATACAAGGCAGGATGTTATTGGCCTCTCTACCACTACCCATTTTATGTATTTCCCTCCAGACTTCTAGTACATCATTTCTAACCATAATCCTATTTTGCAAGTCAAGCACGACACCTTTTTCCACTTCCGTTTGTTTGCTTGGACACCTCTGACCATACAGTTCCAGCACAAGAACACTGTCAAGGCCAACAGCTTTACAGTTTATGCAGTACAACCTTCAATGACCATCAAATAGAAAGGAGCACACATACTAACAAAACGACTGATTACACTGTTGGAAGAAGCATTATAATTCTCTCACCAAGCTACAAACTTCCCAGAGATCAATCCTATAAAGATAGTACTTTGTAGAAATTTTATTCTGATTTCTTCATGAATTTGTTTTGTCTCTATTGAGAAACAATTATAAGAAGTTCACAGTAGAGAGAATGGAAGCATGAGGAGCATTTAAAGTAACTTTCATATGCAGAGAAAATAAAAACATTAAGAATCTTTGCCCCTAAAACGAAAAAAATGTATTAAAAATTTAACAATGCATATAAGCATCTAAGTGCATAGATGCACTGTTTCATAACACAAGAACAAGACATTATATGAAATTAAGTCACAATTGAGCTAGAACGCATGACTCTTTTTCATATAATATGTAATTAAATTGTGAAACTCAAGCGCGGGTAGTAACAGATATCAAGATTTGGTTTGATCAGAAACGCATTATGCTTTACAAAACTACAGGGTATTTGGATAGAATAATATCTTGTAACAGAAAAAAAAAAAAATCTGAAAAAGTATATTTGTTCAATCTCTTTCTCTCCATGATTATTTCTCACTAATACAGATAAAAATGAATGCCCTGGAATTCTTGTGGAATCAAACAGGTATTTTTTAACAAAACATTCTTCTTGAAGTCAAATTTTGAGAAACTTCCCTCAAAGACACTGTTTTTTCGTGGGTTTGATGGGTTTTTTTGTTAAACAGAATTAAAAATATCGGTATGCTGAAATTTTCCCCCAACTACAGGTATTAGTTTGTACCATGTCCACTGAAGCCGCCCAGCTCTGAAATATGTGGCAGTTGCCACCACTGGCCACAGAACACAATGCAGCCAACACAGAGGTCCTACCTGGTAAAACATGGGTGGTTTACGCCAGAATTTAGGTGGCTTCCATCACTGTAATTATCTGAGCACTCCAAAAGCAGCTTTGATTTATCTTCTCAAAAATATACTATCTACTCTTCACATGTGAGTAAAGACAAATAATTTAGACATGTGCACCTGTAAATCTGTGAGCGCACTTACAGGAATAACCATTTAAGCTTACGCACACACATTAAATGCTTTAGTGACCTGCCCCAGGCCACTTCCTAAAGCAAACTTTCTCTTCTGAAGTAAGCAGTTACCTTTTCCAACCTTCCGAGTCTACCCAGAAAATTTCATACATCTCAACCACTGTATCTCAATGCCTTTAAAACACTAAGAAAGAAAAAATCCTCTTTCACAGTTTCTAGAACAGAACAGTTCATCTGCCGAAAACACTCATTTAATTCAATGCAGCACTTTGCTGCACTGAGTTTGGCAAAGCTTGCATGAAGAGTAAGGGATGCTGCTGCTGTCTTGGTGTTTTCTTACTCTGTTCTGAACAACCATTACAAAAAATTAATACTTTACGTGCTTTTTTTTTTCTCCCAGACAGTATGAAAAATGATCTCTCCTGTTGTCTACACCCGTCACTCTGCCTGCAGCAGTCAGCTGTCAAATCCAGGTCTGGGACAGCCGGCACATTATTCTACCTACACAGCTGGGATTAGCCATACTTCTCAATTTGAATCTCAAGAGGGAGTTCTTGGGTAGATTTTTTGGGTTGTTTTTTTCCTTGTTGTTGTTTGTTTGTTTTAAGATTTTTTTCATCTGAAGTTTTATGTGCTTTCATCAACAACCCATGTATTAGAATAGCCTAATTAGTCTAGACCCAGTATTTCGAAGTGTTGCCTGTTGCGTATGCAGCTAGCCACCAAAGCTTTCAAATACAAGCACAGCCTGTTCAGATCTTAGAATTCATTTATTCATTAACAATTTGGGGGTTTGCCAACCCAATATTAAAAGTGACAGATGTTCACAAAATAACATCTGACAACCACAGCAGTTTTCTGATAACACAGGAGCAGGTTTTACTGGCTTAACTTCCATTAGCATATCCAATGAAAAATAAGGAATATAATAAAAAGGTGAAGTATTAACAATTCATACATTTTAAATTAACTCGTGTCCCAGAAGAACTACAAAATTGTAATTGCCATGGGTAAACTCCCATTTCTGTTTATGTATCAGTGTGTTTCTGCCTTCTCTTCTAAAATCCACTGTTTCTCACATACTTTTATTTATATCATTACTGTATATACCTTTTGATGGAGCAATTCCTTCTCTGAAATTTGCCTAGAACAAAACAAAACAAAAAAACCTAAACCCCTTCCCTCCTTATAAGCTAACGCTAAGCAATAGCTTCTGGCATACAGTGGGCATCTGACGACGCTCAAACTGCTAACCATAACCACACAAACAGAAGGAAATCATGTAGGATGATTAACACAGAAGGGACGAGTTGATTTTCCTCAAGTCTAGATACTCGTTATCATACACAGACATAACATAAACCCTATCCTCCAGCATCTCAATCTACACCTGAAGGTAAACTGGATTGATTACATTATAATTATTCTTGAAAAGTGGTTGAGGAACTCCTACCACTGTTCCCTAGGATGAATAGGAAATCTTCACATCCAGCCTTGATTACATACAAAAATGAGCTCAAGACGGTATCAACTGATTCTCTTTCCTGAAAATCTGATGTCCAACATTTCAGACTAAATACAAGGCTGGGAAAAGTCAGCAGATTCATCCTTCTGCACAAGGAAAACTGATTGGTAAGAAATTCTCTCTCCCGAGTCAGCTAACTCCTGCATTTGAGATAGTCAGCACTAACAAAAGAAAAACAACACAGAGGAAGTAGGAGAGAAAGGAACATGAAGTGAGGCACACCTCCTGTACAAAAATAAGTTGACCCTATAACCATCATATGAAATATCTTCAATACCAAAATTGCCTGAAAGAGGGGTATACTCTGCTTCCCTGCAGCCTTTGCTAATTGCCTTCTAAAACAGGGCATCTCCCAGACGAACACAAAACAAAACATGGGAAAATTCCTGCTAAGAACTGGTAGTGCTAGCTGAGACTGTACGAAATACCACAGAAATTAAAATGTTATTCAACAGAATCTTGCCACTTGCATTAGGAAAAATAACCTCTAAAAAACGTGCTGAGTTCAGGGACTCAACAGTAAGGTTTCTTAGGAAAGATGCTGGAACCAGAAGTATTTGGGCAGCATCTTTTTCATATATATATATATATATACACACACACACAAATATATGTCTATGCAATATATAGAGAGGAAATTAAATACATACAAATTAATATTTTCTATTTATACATTTTATATATACACACTTAGAAACATATACGGGTTAAATATTTTATGTAAGTTATATATCTTATTTTTTAAAAAAAGTTTAAGACAACCCCAACCTGTCACACAACTTAGTCATGCACTGAATCCTGAGCAGCTGGTAGCCTACTAAGCTGGTAAATTAACTCAAGTGAAAAGAAAACAGGGTCAACTCAAATTCATCTCTGATGTACTTGCTGACCTTATCCTTATGACAACTGTAAATTTAAACTATATTATCCTTGCAATCCTATTAAAGTAGGAGAAGAATGCAATTTCATCAGATAGAATTTGACATTCAGATGCCCCAGGTCTCACAGAGCAAGCATTGAATTTCTATCTTGTACCAAGTCCTTTTAGGCTGTGAACACGGCGAGTGCAGTAGCTACACACTCCAGCAGGATCCCAGGAAGGGCAGTTTGAAAAGGCAGATGATAAATTGCCCTAAACTGCTCTCGTTGATAGACTTCAGCCCCTCTGCTGAAGGTAAGAGAATGGCAAAAGTCTGTCTCAAGACAGTGAAACTCTGTTATAATTCAGAGATGTTGGCAGGATAGGAAGTCCTGCTTTCAGAGCACTCCAAAGATAATAGCTAGAGCTCTTCCTTAATAAGATATACAAAAAGAATAAATAAAAAGAAAAGGATAAGTTTAAGAAGCCCAAATGCACTGTTCATACTCACAATACAGGTTATCATGAGACATAAGCTTTGACCTTCAACAGCCTTCCATCGTTTTGGAAATGCAAGCAACAGGGGTTGCAGACACCCAGTTCACAAACACCAGACATTAATGTACACAAAACTCCCCCATGAATTTTAAGCAACCTATGTCAACAAAAAAAAGAGTATTTTCACATAGCGTGGAAAATGAGCTCATAGAGTTTGCTCAGAGTAAACAAACTAAATAAAGGAAAACAAAGCAGATACAGGTTCACAATTAAAAATAACAACCAGGGTTTCTCCCACCACCTTAAATTTCCTCAACCGCTATATAATCTCTAACGACTGAAGAATTTCAGCCACCCTGCATTAATGCCATTACATTCAAACACAAAGCTATACTTGTAAAAAACTTCATGTTACCCATATCTAAACAACTGGTTTGTTACTATGCTGAGCCACTTCATTAAACATTCCCGATGTAAATCCTGGTCACTGCCATCTGTAAAGATACTTTAGAGATTTGAGAGCTTTGCACCTCTTTGCAAATATATTCACAGCTTCCAGCAACATATGGCACTTTTTCCATGAATCACAAATGCCCACCACATTTCAAGGAGGATGAAATTCTAAAGGAATTGATCAAAAGCACCAAAGAAAATTAAAAATATAAAAGTTCAGGTTTACTCTTGAAACAAGTTTAGTAGATGTGGCATTTGGAAATTAAATACTTGTATTTCATTGATTTTGTAGCAGAATTATTAGCCTAGCTTACAATTTTCCTTCCCCCTTAAAGCCCCAATCTGGAACATTACTTTCCTCCCCATCTCTTCAAGCATGTACACACTCCATTTCTTGAAAGACAACCTGAGACACATTTTTTCACACATGCTGTTTACTGTGGTCCTTCTGTCCAGGTACTGAACTCTAGGTTACATCCCAACCCAACCCAAAACCTCTGAAACCCTACACAAGTATCACTGAAGACTGTCTAAAATATGTACAAGGAAAAGAACTCTTCTGATCAATAATCCAGATGTAAAAATCTGAATATTTAATATAAACATTAACCTGATGAATACGTACCTCTAAAGAACTTCTGTCTGAATTTATATTTAATCTGGTTTTGATAAAAATACTTTAATGTAGATTTGAGCCTTCCTGCTACAAAAATGAAGACTTAGTTATGAATATGTCTTTTAGAAGCATTGCATTTCTCAGATGAATAACTGAGAAGAGCAGCTAATAATTCTTCAGCTGTAAAAGCTTTATTTAGACAAAGTTATACATGTATAAAAACTGCTTTTGCTGATTTTCGTGGATTTGACCTAGCTTTCTCCTTACATTCAGACTTGAGACGAAGAGGCAACTGTACAACTACCTATTCCTCCAGTTTAAACGCTGAACTCCGTGCCATTAATTCCCCTCTATCTAACTGCATGAGTATCTTCAGAGTTACCATATAACCCACCAGGAACCATGCAGCAAAGTCACTCCTTCAGGAGAGGGGAAATGCTGCAGCACTCTGTTCCTGAAAAAAAAAAGCAGCAGAGGTGAGATGCAAGGAAGCACGGATGTCTACTGCCAGGGTAGCTCAACCCTTTTAATGGCAGAAGCCAAGTGCCAGCTTCAGCACTACCACCTTGGAAGCAGTTGTGACTTGCTCCACAAAGCCCCAGCCCTGCCCGCCGGAGCCCCTCACAGCAGCAGCAGCCTGCAGCCGTAACAGCACGGCTCCCCACCACCCGTCCCGCGCCCGTCCTCCCACGGGGACACAGCCACAGCCACAACCCATCCACGCAAAGACAAGCAACTGGAAAAAAAATTATTTCCAGTCTGTCACCTGCCTCACCCCAGCAAAACACAAGCACCCTGAAGAGCCTCCTCCCTACATCCCTTCTCTTTCACCATAAGGGGATAGTATATTCTTAGAGATTCTTCTTATCAAACTGTTATATCAGCTGTTGGCTACCAAGTCGATATAGCATCTTGCACCAGCAGAGAATGTGCCCTTTTCTAGATTCCCCCCTAATGTTCAGACAGGCACAAAATTATAAGGTAAAAAAAGATCTGCTCTGATTTACTTTACATCTTTTTTCAGGAAGATATCCAAGGAATTGTCCAGCTCTGGAGATGTTATGGCAAAGAAGTTCCAATACAGGAGAATATGCTGCTAGATGAAGGAAAATCAGAGATGCCTGTACAGCCACACAGGCAAGTAATTCATCTAGATGAAGACCCACAGAAAAAGGACAAGTGAGATGAGTTTTCAACTACATCAGTTACCACATAACCCAGCACTAGCACAGTATGGATGCCAGGACAGCTCTACCCATTTCAGAGACCACAGCACTTATGCTACATTAAGGTCAGTACATAACAGCAGCATCAGTTGAAATTCCTTTTAACTATTATTCCAGTAACTGAAGAAAGAATTCAAAATAACATGCCAACACTTGTGCTTCAATGAGATGATCACACTTCATAAAGACTCAACCTAAAATTACATTTTAATTCTCCAATGCTTTTCCACTAGAAGAATTTAACACTTCTGATACCATTCTGTATTTGTTAGTCTCTTCTCAATTTACCCAGTAAACAATCCATTATAGCTGTCTTAGTTTTAATCATTAGCAGCTGTTCTACATTACATCATGAAATGTTTTAGAAGACTATTATTGTTCATAAATGCTTACAAAGTGTCCAAAGGTAAAATAAAATATGAAGATGTTATTTTTCCAAGCATAAAAGAAGATTAGCAGTACCAGAGAAATGTCAAGATTGATTAGTTTCAATAACCCACTGAAAAATTCAGCTATACTAAAAAGAGTAAAATATTTCTTGAAAATGGAGAAAAATCGAAGTAATTTATGCTTTAAATTTCCCACATTAAAAAGGGATTGTGAAAGTAAAGGCGCAAGAGCAAAACTGGCTAATGAAAACATAACATTTCCTTGGCTTAGAGTAAATGCTGATCTTGAAAACAGAGAAAAATTACCTGCAGACATGGTACATAAAAATTTTCTCTTTTAAGGCTTGCCTTGTTAAGCTAATTGTAATACTTGAACCAGCAAGGAGCAAAAATTTGACTCAAGTTCAGTCAGTCAAAATATTCAACCTTCAATTCCCACACCACCTTTTCCATACCGAAGGAACCATGGGATGCCTTCCAAATTACTTGCAACATTTGATAACATTCAACAACAAAGTGTCCCTAAGCTAAATGCTGCCTTAATTTGCATTTGCACATTGCATTTTCAACTTATGTCATATCATTCACCTCCCCCATAACAGTATCACATTTTCTTCTCACATTCTTCTGTGTGCTAAAATAAAGTCTCTCTTGCAGGCCAAAGTAATATTTACTGGAGTATCTTTATTCTCAGCTGCTGTCCTCCCAGTATGTCCACTACTGTCTTTATTCTTCAATCCCATACCCATCTCTTTAATGCAACATAAACAAATGAGTTAAACCACTGGAAAAAGTTACCAGTAGTGGTGGATTATGAATCTCTTCGTATCTCCAGATGCAGACAGGATGCCTTTTGAAAGATGCACTTACACAAAATTCTATTTTTGCATTCAATACAGGAGTGACAGAGTAAAATAACAGGGTTATAATATCCAAGAAAGTCAGACCAGATGACCACTTCCCTTTATATCTATAAAATGTAACTACTGTAGCACTAAAAACCTGTAGGGGAAAAAAAAATTAAAAAAAAAAAAATAATCACATAATAGTTGAATAGTCAATATACAAAACTGTGGTATTAAGCAGCACTAACATATATTCAAAAATCAGCAGAAAATAGGTGGTATAAGTTTTCATGAAACATAATGTTAAGAAAGAGAGAAAAATCTGCTGACAGTATCCTGTGGGCTCCCCAAGGATCAGGTTCAAAAGATGCCTTGTGCATTTGTCATTCCCATACAAAACTATCACATTTCAGCTGTGGGCTCTCACCTTGTCCTCCTTTCTCCCTTCAATCCCCTCTTGACATCAGTCCCAATAGCCTCTGTCACAGCTACTCACAAAGCTTTCTTTTACAATGTGCCTCCTTCTGCCTGCTTTTTAACTGGTCTAAGAGCTGTGCTTAATGGAAACTCCCATTCAAAATTTGTGTCTTAAAGCTGGAAATAAGAGGAATATTTCTTTTCAGTCCACTAATCAAAGTACACTTTGTAAAAACACTCACTAACCTACTGCAGTCTTTCATTGACAGCATCTCTTGATTTCTGCTATTGGTTGCTATTTTCTTGTTACCACATCATTCTGACATATAGCATACATATAAATGTATTACAGATGGTATACTTATTTTTAAAAAGCCTCAGCTTTTTCTGACCACCATAAAAATTAAGAGATAAACAAGAAGTTATTTACACTTTTCTGACAACATTGTTGGGGAAGCTATTGGCACAAAAGCTAGAGAAAAAAACAAATTACTATAACCCACAGCTATTAAATAAATTTTAAAAAACACCTACTATTTTATCTAAGACCCTAACATTGCTCCACAAATGGCAATGAAAACACCATGAAAACAAAGACTCATGTATTTAACTTCATTCTTCAAATATACTTTCCCTATCCAATTCAAGTAGTCTCTAATTTCAACCTGAAGTGAAAACCTCAAGAAACAGGATATTAGAAAACACAGTGAAGACCTGTCTTGCCAATACAGTACTCATCCATGAGCCAGGACATGTAAACTTTCACAGAACTCCTTAAAAGTTGTCCTCTTCCCATGCTCAACCTCGCATCAACTAGACATTGCAGGAAATAACAGCCACAGTTCAGAGATACATTCTTTAGCTGAGGTGATGTAATTCGAGGTCAATTCCCAAAATACATGGGCAAACTGAGGAACTACCCATTTCTTCAAGCCCAAATCGGTGACTTCCAGTGGCTGGAACATAAAAGAGCATAATGCATTACAAGTCTGTAAACAGCTATGGCTGACGTACATTTTGGCTTTCAGTGTATCTCAATGTAAACTAGACTCAGATAGAAAGGCTTAACACAGCTGCTAACATGCATTTTCATATTATCAACTTGTTCTTCTATTGCCATTTGGGTTTTTTTGTTGTTTTGGTTGGGGTTTTTTGTTTGTTTTGGGGTTTTGTTTTGTTTTGTTTTTTTTTAATATATATATATATATATATATATATATATATATATATGTATACATATTTGGGAGTGACACTGGGATTTGTGACCTTATCAGAAGGACCCCCTTATCTGCATTAATGAGTTACAAATGCAAGAATATGACCCAGAAGTACAGACCAACAAAACTCAGACTAGTACTGTATGTATAGGGGAAAAGTGAGGACTGCAAAAATAGTGTTCCCCCAAAATTATGAGGTATATGCACTAGTTCTCCACCAAAGCAGCAAGAGACCTACGGAGAGAGAAATACATACTGTCATTTTATGCTCTGCAAGACCCAGTCCTTCTGTTGTGAACCTGGGGGACAGATGTCACCACAGAACTGGTGTTTTGAGGACTCTAGCACTCTGACTCAGAGGTAAGAAAGTTTCAGTGTGAATAAAACACCAACAAATATTCATTTTGTCCAATGCAGAGATTAGGGAAACAAGTAAGACACTTTCAGCAACTCCAGTTTAAAATTAGTGGCAGTACTAGCGATTATTTCAAACAGATACTGGTCTGTATTCCCTTCCCAGCATGCTCATAGCAGGATTGCCATGGCGCAAGTACCTCAGACACACTCCTCCTATTCCACACTGCTAGTAGATGAAACTAATTTTAAAATCACGGTACTAGTGAGGTTGGCTTTTCTTCTTCAGCTATCTACCTGTATAGTCTCTCTGCAAGAAGCACAGTCAATATTACCATGAAAAATACCATGAAACACGGTTTTAAATAGTGCTTTGTGGTCTTGGTCATGTAGCAGACAGGTTTCAGAGAAATAACACTGCCATTTAACTCCTCAAAAAGTTACCTCGGTTACTGTGTTTTCCATGGGTTTCCCCCACTCAAGGACACAAACACTTCTTCCCGTCCGTATGCTTTTCTGAAGGATTTACTAATACACCCCCATTTTCTTCAGGCATGTTTGCCAGACATCCCACTCCTCAAGCACAATCCTGTTACTTCACAGAGGGCTATACAGAACATAGGGGGTCACAAGGAGCAGGCAAAGCAGTCTGTCTTGATCCGGTGAGATCAAGATTTCCTGCAGGAGGGACAGACACACACGCAGCTCAGACAAAGGAGAGGAACAACCCTGCGTTGAAGTAAGTGGAGAACTACCACAGGAACAGCATAGTACAGGTAATGAAGGATGGGAAGACCTCTAAGACTTCTCCACCAGGTTGGCCCAAAGAGATTTATACGTCATTTATTTTTGACTGAATTAAAACTGGCAGCTGTGGCCTTAATTGCTTTATTTTCCTTTCATTCATTCAAAGCAAAGCTCCTTTCGGAGATTTTTATCCCCAGAGGCAGTAGCTGTTTCTTTATCCAAGCTGGAGAGCAGAGAGCCCAGCCTGCAGAAGGTAAGATACTCCCTCCCAGCAATTCCTGCCAACACTTCAACTCTTCACAGCTGGGACAGATCACAGTAGCATGGAAATAAGGAGCATCACCTCCACGTGACCAAGAAGATTTTCTGTGATCACTGGCCTAGCTTCTGGTCAGTCAGCTGGTCCCTATTTGGAAACACTGTACTACACACATTTTTCCTTTTTAAAATAGTCATTAAATTACAATATGCATGTTAGTGATACTGTAATGAATTACACTGGGACTCATTTTGGCTAAGAGCTGATGAACCACCACTGAAACCACAGGGTTTTTTTCCATAATTAACAAACTATTCCAGCTAAAAATTACATAACTCAGATATATCTTCAGAAATCTGTCCCAGAATGTTGTTTAAAATGTGCATGAGTAGTCTGTTAAGTAATGCTTACAGCAGCAGATGTCTGTATCAGAAAAGACATTCACATATACAGTAAAGAATAATTTTCATCATTTTAACTACACATTGTGCTGAGAGTAACCAGGAGACTCCACAAATGTGTTTGTTAGTTGGTCTACTTTATTATTATTTCAGGAAGCAGCATTTCCTGTAACAATTAGTGCTGTATAATTTCTAGTAGCAATTCACAATTTTAGCACTCAACTTCTAGAAAATCAATTATCCAAAAACTATGTCATGGTTATAAATACTTTCAACGCCATCACTCAACAAGCATTCAGGCACTAATGATTTTAAAGGAAACAGTGGCTTTTTAGATCTTATAAATCCTATGGATTCAGAGAATATTGATTACAACTAGGCAGTTGTAATGCAGAGTATTTAGCTCACTCACCCTCATCTATGAAACTGCCACAATATATTAAACAAGGCTATAAATCAGTGATTAAGCACAACTAAGACTGAGGGTATTACTGCAGGCTTGAATAACCTACTAGAAGTGTTTAAATGAATGATATTTTAGTGAATCAATTTAAATCACACAGTACCCCAATATTGCTTGAGATACAAGACCACGCATCTCTCTCAGTCATTTCAGGTCTATTCAATCACAAGACAAAGCATACCGCAACTTGAATTCACACCAGGTGCTGAAACTTGAGCATGTAAGTAACAGTCTAGCCTGCTCACATTACTCTGCCCTCAGAAAGATCTTCACTAAAGAACAGGTTCAAAACTTACATTGTTCAACACAAGTTTCAAAGTACTTCAGTGAAGTTAGCCACAGAAACACTTTGCAAAATAGCCCTCTCCTTAAGACAGCAAACCATGCGGTACTTCAGCAGCTTCAGCTGAGTGAAGACAACTTGTGAGGCTGCTTCAGATGGCATATGGAGTTAAGAACTTTTGTTACCCACAGCCTCAGTAACTAAAATAAAAAGGTGGCACTGCTTAGTTCAGGAGTGTGCTACAGTGGCTACTAACTTGTGAACATCCCTTGTCCTAGGAGATTGCACATTGCAGCCAGCTGGAAAAGCCATGGGCTTGGGAACAACTCCCATCAGACCTGGGGAAGTCTTTCCTGGCTCAAAGGAGAAGGTATTTTTCAAAGAGGTGCAACGAAAATGTTCAAAGCAAGTCCCCTACATATCTGGCATCCTTCTACACCGGATTCTTACTTGCAAAAGAAACAAAGGCCCACAATATGGACTGTGGGCGTCAAAAATACCACAGTTCACAATGCTTCAGAAGATCTCTGAAATGTAAAATTTTCCACAGAAGCAAAGTCCAGCACATCAGAATTATCTACACCACAGTTTATGATATAGAAAGATAAGATCTGTGATAAGGGCAGATATTCAAATAAAATCCTAAATGATACTTCTATCCAGATTTTAAACATGATTAAAAATATCTAGGATGACAATTTTATGCTGCATACATATTTTAAGAGATATATAGCAGCCATTTATTTGAAATATATGTTACCTGCAATTCAGAGAGACTTCTAATCCTATAGACTTGAATTTTCCTAAACATCACAGTGATTGGCACAAATATGTGGAATGCTGCCTTAAAGAGGCAAGATATCTAAATATTTACAGTGAATTTCTCATAAACTACACAACTTCTTAGTAAGTTGCTAAAAAGCTAATTGAAATATATATCATTACAGAAAAATATGAAGACAGATGTGGAACAGACAGAGGGGTGCTAAAGCAGCTAACCTGAACAAACAATGAAGAAAGACTAAAACAGTGTGTGATCAATCTACAGAACTTGAGTTTAACGTGGATTATGAGTTTTTATTAAGGACTGTCTGAAAAGCCTCTGCTATACAGTTTAATCTAGCAAGCAGTCATGAATGTTCTGCTTAAAAATAATAAAGCTAGGGGAATGAACTTTCCTGCAAATCTAAAGAACAAAAAGAAATATTTTTCTTCTGTCCTTTGGGTAGCTTACAGAAGCACTCCTGCATGACAAGGCTCTTTAAAATTACATAGAATATATATAACTGGACATCACAGACATTCTTAAAAAAACAAGTTTGGGTTGCATTTGAGTTCTGAAACTGCATGGAAAGAAAATGTGATTTCTTGAAAATTTTCCATCCACTTTGTGGAATGCATTCTGTGTTGGCTCCTGTGCATAAAGAGGTATCATCAGCAGGTTTCATTTCCGTTCTTGGCTGATAAAAGATATTTTTTCTTAACACTGGATTCTTGAAGCACTTGGGCTACTATCCAAATGTAGGCCTGCTTCACTTGTATGCAATTATTTTGTATTTCATATAAATCATTACTTGCTGTAATTTAACTAGAAATACATAAGCACACTGTTATCAGGCTGAGAACCTCAGGCACTTGCATTCAGTAGGAAGAAGAATTTATGGTATATAATGCATCACAGTACTGACTGTTATTTAACTTAAAAATAAATAACTTCTGTATTTTCTCTGCCAGAATGCTAGGTTTGCAACATGGCTCCAAGGAATAACGCTCTTTTTATAGCTAGCAGGCTGCCCAGAGCAGCCTTTTCTTGGACACAACACACTGCTAGAGCAGGAGCAAAGAAGGCTACCCCTAAGGGAAACAATGCCACTACCAAAGTCAGCCAGTTTGCTCCCTTGCTTCTTCCCTCCTTTGGGTATTTTCTACCTTGCCAATCCTTGGAAAGGATCAAGGAGACAGTCACCTGGTTAAAATAATATGAAAGAATAAGAGCTAGTAAGAGCTGAGAAGAAGAATGAGAAGACGCTTCACACAGAAAAAGCAGTATATTAACACAAGACTGGGGAAAATCTCACAGAACAGGAGAGAAATCCCATGCACAAGGAAAAACCAATGTAACAGAAGCAGTCACAATTCATCACATCTCTGAAAAATAATTTTGATTTCTGTGGAGGGTAACAACATCATGATGTTTCTTCTCAACATCACAGAATAAAACTCTAGAGGACTATGTCCTCACTTTGGTGCATATTAAATGACTTGATCCTTTCTCTGTGCAACATCCAGATTACAACTAGCTATCACTCTGCTTCTTGATATAGACTCAGCCATCATCTCTAGTTAAGGAGATTCACATTTGTCTGTTATTTCCTGCTTTTATAAACATATACATATCCAGGTCATAAAATGTCAGTTTACAGTGTTTATCTGTCTGAGAGGTGTAAGGAAATTTCATTGTATGCAGTATTATTGGATTACAAAACAAGCCAGCTAGCTGAGACAGAATCATGACATATAAAATAATTTCCCTCCACAGCCACAGTATTTAAACAGCAGGCTCTTTCAGAGTCCTGACTAACTCCAAGGGATCTGCAAGTACAATTTAAGACAGACCTCTGTATGCTTACTACAGTGTTCCAAGCAGCCAGTAAATACCCTACTTGAAAAGTTTTAGGGATCCATAAAACAAGAGATGGGGAGGAGGGAGTCACAGCAGTTATAAAAACTTGGGAGTTTAGTATTCTCTACCCAAAACCAGAAAATTTGATAGCAGAACACAAGTGTGACAATATGTGATATGTCTGACAAGATGACTAAAATTAAAGTACAAACAAAACCCAAGAAAAAACTACTCTAGACTTAATCTTAGTTCTCAAAATAAATAATACTTGAAGTTTAAGTATAGCCTTTGCATTTCCAACAAACCAATTTCATAAAATTAGCATTAAAAACAAAGTTTGTAACCAGGGAGTACTTAAACTCTTTGCAACATCAATACTGCTAATATTGTTAAGTGCACTTTAAACGAGTAATTTCCATAATGTTAACACAACAGCTAAATACTGCTTATCTGGTAATGGCTCTATGCATAAAGCTGACCTTATTTTTATGCATAAGAACACTGTACTTCTAAATAAGTCCCATGAGTTATATCACCAGCTAAAAATCCTGACATATTTAAGTAAAATTCATAAATAAGGCAGCTAGTGAGATCCTCTCAGAAAAATGAGCTCAGAAGCTCGTAACAAAACTGTAGTATCTGCCAAGGTCTTTCACCTTTTACAAGGTTTCTTCTTTTATATACCAGTGCAGAGAACAGATTTTTCATTCTGTCTGTTGTCACAAAATGACGGAGATGGAGTACACATGCAGCCAAGGGCCACACCAAGAAAGGGAAAGAGGAAAGAGTGGAATTGAACTGCAAACCATGCTATTAGAAGAACTAACATTAGATATGTCTCACTTCACATGGTGACCTACCTTTCACTGTTAGGCTGGGTATCATGGACATTCAACAAAACCAAAATGTTCTAAGGAAGTCACAAAAATCCCCTTCTACTCCATCATCAGTTTAAATAACCCGTGTTTCTCTTCCTTGTTACAAAGATGGACGAGCCCACCCCACCTGCGATCAAAGGTTAGGGCACTACACCACCACGTGGGATATTCAGAGCCAGCCTAATACCTCCTCTTGCCCCTTCTTCCACTGGAGAGGCTAGGGAGGACACAAGGATGAGGAAGCAATGGTGTCTTTAACAACAGCTATTCAAAAATGGAAACTGAATGTAATGTTTCAATTTACAAAAACATCCTGAAGCTCAGCAATCACAGCGGGACTGTTTTGCTGTCAACAAGAAGCATAATGTAAGAACAGTGGAATTGCAAAATCTATCACAAATGTTAAAAGCATAAATGCACACTGAATTCAACCTTTGTGGGCATACTCAATCTTCCAATTAGATGATCACATACTAACGTTTCCACAGGACTCTTATCTTATTTAGCATACAGAATAGATTTTAAAAAAAACCCCTAACTGATCTAGCCAAGTATATACTCTGTGTTCATACTCCTAGACTCTCTTGGCATTTGATACTATTAATTAATGTACTGCCTCATTCCAGAAATGCAGCAATGATCCAGTACACTGTAGTCAAACTGGTTCCTGAGTCCTCCCTAGAAGGAAGACACGTCAACCCACAAAAACAGGAAAACTGCACTCACGCTGCTGCGTGCTTCTCACACCCCAGAGGAAGCAGTTCTTTCTAATTCTTTAGATATGAACTGATCTACCTTAATGCAGTAATAATCACTTCACAACTTTTATTGAGAAAATAAAAAAATGGGGAAAAAAAATATAAAAAGTGTTGCAAATTACCAATTCAGTTTTAACATCCGTAAGATGTGGTGCTGAACTATACACATGAAATAAAAGACACACAATGCCTGAATACTTCTATGTAATTTCTATTATGTGCATTTGTATACCAAAACATTAAAAAACAATATACAGTTTGTGACAGAAACCTCTATTCTCTTATTCCTACTAAAAATAGAATCCTTACATTTAAAGCATTCCACAATTTATCAACAATTTTCAGTGACAGAAGGTAATAAACACCACAGTACTGTATGTATGGATCAAGGCTAGCTCCCACAGGCATAGTATGCTCTGCATTTCTACCTCCTAAAAATTATATATTGCACTACCATAGGCATTTATGTACAAAATTATTTAAATTATATCTAAATTTTTAATGATACAGATCTTAAAACTTTTGATTTTTTTTGTTTACAGCTGTTTAGAAAAGTAAATATTTAATTATTATGCCCCCATGTACAACAGGTTTCAGGTGATTCTAGATCTCCCACACTTGCACATCAAATACAAACCACTAACCCCTACTGCTGTTTATCAACACTGAGTCACAGAAAATAATGTCTGACTTGCCTAAGCATAAACTAACCTATAAATGTTTAATGCTGGAAAACTGTTAAAAGGTTACACAGCAAGGCTCCAAATTACTTTCCAAATCACTGGTACTTTTCATAAAATTGCTTTTTGTTCATTCTTTTACAGTTTCTCCCTTTACCATTTCCTGAACAAAACTTCCCAATTCACTTTCCATCCTACAAAAGCAACATGAATTGTCTGTGTATTTCAGCATGGCAAATAGCGGGAGCAATATGAAAACTGTGAGAACATCGTTCTTTAAGGCAGAAATCTTTTACTCCACTTTGTTTTTAAGAAAGCAATTTCTTTTCTACATGAAACTTCTTAATAAATATAAGCTACTGCCAGGCAGTCACTGTGATGGGGCAGGACAGCTCAGGCTTAGAGTAACAGGAGAAAGGTAATTCTAGGAGCATCCCCTTCCCACAGTTCTCAGACAAGATGGCAACCTGCAGCAACCTCCTCCTACTAGGGGAGAGAATGCAGGCAGTGGTTAGGTTACTGTGTAACTGCTCACCTTTGACAAAATTAGCTGATAAAACTAGTTTATACACTTCACTAAAGGGAAGATGCTGCTTATAAATGCAGGTAGTGGGCTGATTAGCATAAGCTCATGACAAGTGCCCTGTGCTGTTAAATAACAAAACAGAAAAAGAAAGATTTAAAATACCAGTTGGAAAAATAAATACTTTGCTTAGCAGGAGGCTCCCCTTGCATACATATAAGTTCAGAAAAACACCTTGCTGAACCAGATGGCTATTTCACTTGGATCTCTTTACTCAAATATAGTTGCTAGATAGCAAAGGAGACACAAAAAATTCACAGTATCCAAGTACCAAATCTGCTTTACAGAAATAATAATAAAAAAAAAGAAAGAAAATGAAAACAAACAAAACCATCCTTACTATAACACTGTATTTACGAATTAAATGAAAGCAACATTTCTCAGAACACCACGCACAAAGAAATCCTGAATTATAAAGCTACTCACCAACGAAATGGAAGATCTACATGAATACTTTTAATAAGCCTTTACAACCATGCTTTACAAGGAAGTGCACCCTCTCTCCCTCTCTGATACTAGCTCAATTCCTAATAGCAGAGGTCCTGCTGAAAGTAAAAATCATGGTTTGAAGGTTACATTATTGTAAAGATGATTTGTTACGATTTGTATCAGGAAGTGGCTCATCATGTATTTCAGTTTGGTTCCCAGTGCCATAAACGGTAGTACAGCATCAAAATTATGACTGAAAGTGGCAGCTATTTAGAGAGGTACAAGCAAATTAGTAAGTGATAAGAATTAAAAATGTCAAAATTTCTCACTTATTCAAATCATATTATTCATAAGTGAAGGCAACTACAAGGATATTCGTTATGCAAATAAAATTACTTTCTGCTAATAACATAAAATGATAAAAGCATAAGTCACACCACTTATCTTTGGGGAGCAATTCTGACCTCTAATACATATGGATAACACATCTGACTTCAAGCAAGTATTCTGCCAACACCAGAATTTTCTCTTTTCTCCTCCTCCTTACTTGGAGTATGTCCAATATAAAATCATTAAGATTCATGAGCCTCGCTGTTAAGTGCACTTACCGGTGCTGGATTATCTTTAGCTTCCACACCAAAAACATTCCGTCGTTTCACTGTCAGCAAATCAAGATCTTTATTATCATCGTCGTCATCGTCGTCATCATCTTCAAAGAACTGCATGGAGTCTGGATTTGGTGCCCTGCTTGGTACAGCAACTTCTTTTTCCTCCTCAGATACCTCTTTTGATTCATCCTCAGACTCACCACTCTCCTCAGCATCTTCACTGGAAGCAGAACATTCCTCAGTATCTTTCTTTCTCTCCTTTTCCTCTGTTTTGTTAACAGACACTTCTCCACTGAAATTAGTTCCACGTTTCTCCAGTCCTTCCTCATTTATCAAGGAGAGAGTATTTTTATTTTGCTCTGTCTCCTTCGAGTGATCTGTCCCATCAACTGCCTCATTTGCACATAGCTGTTTCCGAACTTTTTGAAGAAATCTCACACGAGGTGCCATTGCAAGACCAAGTGATCTAAATCATGGAATTAAACAAATAAATTAATCTGAAAAGTAGATACACAAAACTTACCTAAGTTGAAGCCCTCATCAATGGCTCAAGTGATTTAATTTTAATTATGGTGATTCATATTGATACATTTTGACTGACATATTTACAAAACTGTATTTGGCCTACAACAGGACAATCTGGCTTGAAAAATGTGAGCAACAGCAAAGGAAGGAAGATGAAATAACTGAGGACTCTCAAGAACATTTACAAATCCTGCCAGGAACGAAAACAAACAAAGAGTCTGAAGAGCTGTAGACAAGAGCAAATTCTCTATGACTCACAGTAAAGTACAGTGGAAGAAACACCAATATAATTTGCTGTTGAAGACAAACGCATGTCATGTCAAGGACAGAGAGCACCGAACACTCTAGAAGTGCATCCAGAACATTAACCCCATCATCTCCTGGTGATGGAGAGATTAGAAGAGCAAACACAGTATGGATAAATGACTAATTGCAAAAAATGCTAAGGGAGAGACATTCCTCCCTTAAAGGAAATCTCACCTGCGTGCATCCCTCTACAGCAAGGCTTTACTTTCATAGCCTATGTAACTAGCAGTGACAACAATACTATTATTTTACCCAGTTACTCATGAAAATTCAGTTATACTAATACTCTGTACATGAAGGGACAAAAATTAGCCAAGAAGCAAAAATACAGTATAGCAACAATAGAGTATTGCACGGGAACAGATAACTGTCTCCAAGAGATGATTTGACTTCAATAAACTTCAGAATTGCTCATTATTATTACACCTGACCCCATCAAATCCAAATTCAAAATATTTGAATATTTAAGTATCTTTCAGAGTTCATGACCCTTCTCATTAGGTTAATAAAAAATACAGGGGGACACTGGTACTGTGCAAAGAACACACAGAGACCACAGCTACATTTAAAAACACACAATACAAAACTGACAGCGTTTGTAATACTTGGGGCTTATACATACGCTTAACAAAGGAGTAAAGTATTTAACCAACTAAAACAGCTATGTATATCCACATGCACACACACATATAAAAGACCAGTCTCTTTCAATCCAGATTATGTACAGTTTTATATCACCTCTCCTCTCAATGCTGCTCTTTTCAAGTGGACAGCATTATGTCTTCCTCTTCACCACATAGCTCTGAATAAAGAAACCTGAGTTATGTCACAGGAGAAAAATCACATCTATACTCCCTGGTGGAAATGTCATTATACACAGTCCATGACAAATCCAAACAGTACTGCAGAGCAGTAAGAGTGGACTGTAAGCCCTGGAGAGCCTCGAAGTGTTAATGGTAGCGAGTGGGACAGAGTAGCCAACAGGAGAGGCACCCTGCTCAAACAACAAACAAACAAAAAACCAAACACAAATGCAACCACACCTGTGGTTAAACAGGGTGGTTTTCCTACTGATCATAGGTTAAAACACTGTAAAGTAGACACGCACTCAAAAAGCAGCCCACACTGTTAGGATGAGGAACAAGTTTTTCAATAAAGTCTTAAATAAGATGAATTTTCTATTGAAATTAATCATTTCTGATAATCCAGTACTGTTGTTCTACAAGCAATTAACAGAAACAATAAAGCAAGCAGAATTTTATAAGAAAAGGATCAAAGAAAGTTTTCATCCAGTGTATTTTACACATTTACACAACTTATTTGGGAACTGAAATTGGACCAACCAGCAATCTTAAACTTGTTTCAGTGTTTGACAGCTAACACGAACTACCTTTGCAATGAGACTATGTGTTAAAGTTTGGCCTATTGACTAACTGAAACAAAAATAACCAAACAAAGCAAATGTAATGCTTCACTGCAGCAGCTGGAAGAAATTCAAATCTAGAATCGGGCCTTAAGCACTAGGCACACTAAAATATACATAAAGAGAATGCTGCAATGTCAATGAAAGTGCAACCTCTTCAGCAAGGGGATTGAAGTAGAAAAAAAAGTCCTGTGCAAAAAAAAAAAAAAAAAAAAAACCAACAAAAAACACTTTTTTGCCTTTCCAGATTTCACAACATTATTCTACATGAAATACTGCTGTCAGCTGTTGACAAAGTACTGCAAATAGTAGCACTGTATGGCAACTACACAATGTGTTCACTTCTCTTTTTCATGCAGACAGACACAATGGACACAGGGTTGCAAATTCCAGTTTTATCACAGCTTCTCTTCTATGCCTCCAGAGCTAGTATCAAAGATCAGGATCACAGCTGCAGAGAAAAGTTTGGAAAGATGAAGAAACTACTCTCTCTACAGGAAAAGTTAAAACACAATCAAAAAGAGCAGCCCATGATGTGGACGAGACTTCACCACAGCTTTTCTCACTGAAGTATGAAATCCTATCCACCAGACTGCTGCCCTGTGCTGATGCTTTAATAATTGTCTAAAATTATCAGTTAGTGTTGGACAATTTTTCTACACTGCTTAGCAACCCTACCAAAAAAGACCAGTGCTATCAGAATTCAGATAACATCTGAACCAAAAGAACACAGCCCTCCATCTTAGAGGAGAGGGAAAGTGTTAAAATCAAATTTGGTAAGAAAGTAATAGTAGATAAGCTTAAACAAAGCTGTGTATGAACAATCCTCAAACACTTCTAGTCACATGTGAGAGACTGAACTATGAACTGTTTGACTCGAGTGGTCAAAAGTTGCCTGCCTGCAAGGCCACAGAGAAAGTGCTGGTGAGAGATGTCTCACAAACTGCTGCAAGATACCTGCGAAGAAGATTCTGGCACCAGAGCTATCTGGCCTGTGAAAAGCCTCTGTTCCAAGGCCACAGAGGTAGCGCTCATCAGAGACACCTCACCAACAGCTGCAAGACAACCTGGTGCATATGGAGGAATGCGGATGAGCCACATTCTCTTGTCACTGTTATGGAAAACACAGCCCCAAAATGGGGATAAGAAGGGCTGTTGAGAGGAGCCCCTCACAATCCTCCCATAGCCCAGCACCCAGAGACTTGGAACGTACAGGGGACAACCCCCAGAACACGACAGACCTGGACACCGAGGACACCGTGGATCTACAGTGGTGACTATCCTTGCAACCCTATCCCAACTGCTTGCTTGATTTCTGACTTTGCCTTCCATTCTATCCTGTTGCTACCTCTTTTTCTCTTACTTTTGATAATAAAAGCTGGTTTTAGTGTACGGCATTTGACCTCATTTTTGTCTTAATCTCGTTCTTGGGATCATATCGAAACCTTCCCTGACATTAGATCTAACACCATGTAACTTCTCAAAGAAATGTCAGCATTTTGGCTTGTTAGTGACTCTTCCATAGTATATTCCAAATGGAGGATAATTTGGGACAAACACATTCTACTACTGCTAGAAGTTTCCTCATAAAGTAAGATTCAACAGTTTCTTTAGAATTTAATTCTTAATCATTTGCCAAATCTAGAGTTCAGTTATACTAAAAAAACCTGAATATATGAACCAGCTTTTCTTTCCAACTACTGGAAAGGACAATATTAGTTTTGATTAATTCATTAAATGCCACTCAGACCACAATCCTACTGTGACTGAAGTTACAGCTATTCTTTGAGTTTAGTGGTAGCATTTCGCACACTCTTCTGGAATAAGAAATGTGAAAGGTTTTCTCATAAAGACAGACAAAACCCAGGTAAGTTATTTAGTGACATTTCATAAATTCTAATATGGAACACTAAAAACATGCTAACACTGTAATGTAGTCCTCAGACTATGGTAGCCTTTAAATGGCAACACAAATTCAGTTGACAAACCAAAAAACAACCCTATTTCATATTTTGGTGTGAATGCAGTGACTTCTTAGGAGCAAGCTCTTCTAGAAATACATTTAAAATTGGCTTCTAAAAGCAATACTGAAACCAACGGATTATTTTGCTACTATAAATGAAAGTACAACTGACAGTTCTATTCATCAACAGAAACTAAAGGTGGTCAGACATCATCATTCCCTAACATTGATAAGGGAATGTATAGAAGTAACTGAACAAAACACCTACAGTGCTCAGGTACCTCCTTCAATTCAAAGCAAGTTAACAAAGATTTTCACAAAGTAAGTTAAAAGAGTAAAACTCTAAAAAAAGAACATTGTATGGCTTTAGGAAGAGTATTGCTTTTGTTTGCTATTGAATAAAGAAAATCAAACATTAGTAAACATTTTTTTTAAATTAATTCAAATGAATGGCGTATCAGACTTAAAATACTGCCTTTTCTGAGGTTTGTTAATTATGCTTATACAAAGATCTTGAGTATGTTTACATTAACACAGTAACTTCACTACACCTCTATTTGGACTGGGTGAAAAACTGGGAACCTCTCTTAACTCTTTTAAAAAGATGGAATCTTAGACACTCAGAGCAAAATATGCCCTTGCACAAAACAAATTAAATAGGAAATATAAGACCAGTACTATCTTTTAATTTTGATGCATCATAAGAGCTCCTAATCTGCACCTAGAAGATTTCCAGTCCTTTTTGAAATGAGCCAGTTGTGAAGAATCTGAGGTCACTTCTGCAGAACTGCTGCACAACAATTTTACACAAGTGCTTCATTCTAATATTGTTACTATATTTACTAAATAGAAGACATATTCCATTAGTGAACTTCTTCAAAATTA